AAATTTCAATGAATTAACTAACTTTTTTGTTTTTTCCTTTTTATTACTGTTCGAACATTTCTAATAGTTTCTTTTCGTCATAAGACGCTTCACATTCGACAAAAAAGTTAACATCAATAGTTTATATTAAGAATTTAGTTTCATTTGTCAAAACGGGCGTTAAAAATCAATTTACTATATTATTTATATGAAAATATTTATAATAAAGAAAGTAATAATGAAAAAGCAAAGTAACAAAACTCCTGAAAAATGTGGAAACATAAAAGTCAAGTTTAATGTTTTAGGTTTTAGGTCAGTTAGTTAAGGTGCGCTGACTCTGAGCTTCAAATTTGCCAGGGCAAGAGTTCGATTCCTATTACTTGCAGTCACAAAAAATTATTTACGAATAATTATATACAAGAATTATTTCCAAGACCACTAATGATGGGTACTTGGCAATACTTAAAACAGATATGGTATGGTCAGTCAAAAATTCAATTAATTAAAATAATATAAAATTAGTTTTTGTTGTTGTAGTTTACTACTGTTCGAAAAACCTCTTTATAATAAAAAAAAATGAAAATGTAAACAAATTGATTTTAAACTATGTCAATCCTTTCATTTTCACATGCCCTTGACAACACAACGCTTTGACGTCTTTTGTGTAATTTTGGTGGCCTAAAAGCACAGTGTAACCAATCAATTTCACTCTGCACTGTTTTCTCAATTATTTCACTTCAACAAAATTTCGCATTGTACATAAATTGTATATAAAAATCGATCAATTAATTTGCTATCAATAAACTGATAAATCAATGCATTGTATAATTTTTGTAAATATTAATATTTAATTGAAAATAAAAAAAAAATATTTTACCTTTTAAATTGCTTCATAATAAATTGATTGTGCACGCAAACCTCTTTAAACAAATTATTATTTAGCAGTAGAAGAAACAGTTGAGCTATGAATGTGCTAATAATTGTTATAAACAATAATATTAATCAGGCATACAAAATATTTATGAATATTTTCGAATGCCTGAAAAAGTCAATAATCATATATAATCACTGATATAAGCAGTTAATGCACTGTGCACTGCAGCGAGTATACTTCTGAATCATTGGCACTGACTGCAACGTACTGTACGTAAACGTAATCGATTGGAACCAATACTTGACAGCCAAGTACGAACGTTCACACCAGAGATACAAAACGCAGCACAATTAAAAGGCAAACTCGACCTAAATTTCAAAATTTAATTCGATTCATTAAATTGCGCATGCGTACGTCCAAGATACGCAGAAAAAAACTGTTTAAGCGGTACACAGTATAGACGACCGTTAGCGGTCGATTAATGAAACTATATATAGTGTATAGTGTTTGCGTATGTATAAATATATGGATGGACATATGTGTATAAAACCGGATCAGCTGTTGCTGCTCTTGCTCTTGTTATTGTACTGCTCTTTCGGCTATGTTTGCTGTAAATGGCAAGCAAAAACCCAGACAGACACCACAACGTGTTCATAATGAACAGCATTTTTATTTATGTAATCGGCTGCAAATACAGTCTTGTGCCTTGCGGTCTGGAACTGTGATGATGAACTGACAAGTCACAATCAAGGCAAAGACACAAAAAAACTATTGAATATGAATGATATTCGGCGAAGAAGATATTAAGAAAGTTGCTGATGTTGTTGATGTTGCTGGGAAATACCAAAGACGTCATAAAATATGCGCCGACATCAAAAGACCCAATAATCAAACAATTGTGCAATAAAACAATCAAAGAGCAGGTCACAAGTGCACCTGTTGCATCGTCAATTTTACCTGTCAATTTCTGTAATATAACACATACATTACATGACTATTTAATATCACATCATTTCAATATTAAACAATGAAATATGATCTCAGAAAGAAGTTCAATAAAAATTTTATTAAATGTGAAATAAACTATTTTACAATACTTTTTACTATAAAAATTTGTGACCAAAGATCCTAAACATTTGTTGTGACAATCGAAGAGGACGCGGATTCATACTTCCTCAACAGTCAGCTCAAGAGCTCTATGACTGTTTTACCCAAATGTAGAGCCTCCGACAGGCTTAGAATAGAAATAAATAGGGTACCAGCAACCAACGGAGCAGAGCACTGCAACCATAGTTGATATTTTGTGCTTGGTTACACAGAAGCAAATCGGAAGTATATAGGTTATTATCTGTCCTGATGGTGCACTAGATTATAAGGCGGCATGAAGATAGAGTCGACCTGCCCTGTAGTATCTCCTATAGTATATGCCTACCGACACTTGACAAACAAAACCATAGCATCTGTTATGATATGTCCAGAAATGTCTAATAACAGGCTTAAGCTATTGGACAGCCCATTCTTTAACACACTCGGCGATGTTACCAACATTAGCATTGACACTTGTTTTTATCAATATATTCTGTCGATTGCAATATAATGATTCTTCTACACTCAGAAAAATAATTTGGTCGATTTAAACAGATTTTAACTAAATCTAAGATCCATATATTCTTATTCGACGCATCATGCTGATTTAATCATACCACATTATGATTTTCATAACTTCTTTACCACATTAGCTTAAATTTCTCTAACAAAATGATCAGGTCAAATTAACTAATATGTGGTTAAAGCATATTTTTTTGAGTGTACCCACTATTACAAGGAATAACATCAAAACAGCTTCCTTAGCTTATCTTTTTTCAACTTCACCTAACATACCTATCTACCCACCAAAGATGCTGACTACAATTTATTATCTATTATTGTCAAGAATTGAATGCAATTAATTAATAAGAATTATATTAATACTAATACTTTCTATTGGTTTTTTATTCCACCACTTTCAAAAGTGTTACAAAGTACGCTATTTTAAACGCAGTCCAAAAATTATATATGACCAATTACTCCAATAGTCGTTTCTTAAAACCGTCTTTTACGGTATCCGTGACAGCTAGTAACTGGTTTAAAAATTAAACATTTTTGAGATTTAAAATTTTCCTCAATATCACTACCTTTTATAATCAATATAAATTTCTTGTGTAAACTAATTCCAAATAATATATTATATATAATATATAAACCCGACAAACGTTGTTTTGCCTTATAAATTATTTCTAGTTTCTAGATAAATTCTAGTGTAGACAAAAGTAACTTACTTATTATAAGTGTGTAAGTATGTGGTATATGCATGAAATAGGCATGGAGCGCTATGAACGAAAAGGATAATAAAAATAACAAACGCCAAACAATATTATTTTTAAGTTATTATAGTTTATTTATTAAATTATTAATTTAAAATCAATAGATTTTATGATACCAAGTTCCCTGGCAACAACTGTTGTATCTTCAAATTTAAATTGTCTTGGATTGACTGTAAATAATAATAATGATAATGGGCCAGTAACATTAACCAACAACAGTCGAAGATAAAAGTACTCAGTGTGTCTTGGATTAACTATAAATAAGCGTTTGATTTAAATAAATTGAGACATGCATCAACTGGTGAAACTTGCTTGCGGGGCATCCATTTTTTTGTTTAAGGCCATGTGAAATAGCGTGGTACTTGTGAATAGAGTAATGTTTTTGCAAAGGCACCAAAATCATCCGTACTATTAAACAATTCAAAAAATGCAGTGAGTGCAGATTTAGGTGGATTTGTACCACGATCAATCACTGTCTCGTTCGTGAAAAATACACGCTGACCATTTTCAAGATGGACGGCTACCTGAACAGCTGCTGGATCCCGTTCATGAATTAGAAAGCCGAAGATACGCCAAGCAGCTTCATTGGAGGTGATGTACCGACCAATTTGGTAGAGCGTAATTTCACCGTTTTTGTTCATTGGAGGAGCATTTACATTAGTATTTTCTACTCTAAACACAGCCATACCACCGCCTTTATGGACATACTTATATATTTGATGCTCTTCACAGAACTGCAAAACTCAACATTAATATAAGCATTGTATGTCTTGCTTAGCAGAGGCGAATACGTTACCACCCGCCATTGTCCCCCATTATCGGGATTTCTTCGACGATATATTGGATATCCGTCGGTATTTGTTATAGTATCATTAGTGAAATCTTTAGAAAAATTTTTAGTACATTTTCCATCTGCCATGCAAGGCGAAGACGAAGAACGAAGTGGATGTAAATGCTCGATCTACTTGTTGGCGTAGTTACATAAAATATTAAGAAAAAAATTTTTCTTTTTCAAAAATATAAACAAA